CTACAAATCTTATGGGCTGGGTGTAAATCCTTAAAGACAGATATGAATCAAACGCACGGGCCAGGCAGTGGGTTTGGCTTGCACACACATACAGGTGAAGTAGCCACTTGTGTGTGTCTTGTCTGGATTAGACGCCCTTTCACAGGGTCACCTGCACGCCGGGGACTGAAGGGGTCCAGAGTGTGCGTCTGAGAGTGACTTCAGCACAGCAGTCACTGGCTCCTGGACCTGACCTCAAGGGTCCAGACGGTCTCCAGAGCCCACGCCTTAAGGGTTGTATAAAATACACATGAGGTCAGGCTCACAGAGGCGGAAAGGAGAACAGCAGTTGTCAAGGCCTGATTAGGTGAGGAAGGTCCAGATTCAAATTTGATTTTTAACTGTATTTTTCTTTTGAAGGATCAGCTTTTCAGGATTGTGACGTCATGAACTCTTGACAGGCTGAGGGCTTGCTCCTGTCACTACTTCATGGGCGTTTAGGATCGATGGGAATGAAGTGTGTATGTGTGTGTGTGTGTGTGTGTGTGTTTTGCAAGGCCAGCTCAGCATTCCCCCATATCTCTTAAACGGGTGACAAAAGCCACCATCTCCTTAGGAGGGCCCCTTGGGAGGGGCTGAGATGAGAAACCTGGTGTTGGGATTGTGGTGTTTTTATTGTGCTGGGCTACAGAGCACAAGAAGACCTCCTGCTACCCCACTGCGGCCTGTGCCGGGGCCCGTCCCTCCCATGCGCCCCGGCTCTGCCCACAACAGTCCCACTCTCCTCCAAGAACAGCTTGCTTCGCCCCACACTTCAGTGAGGTTGCGCGGAGCTTGTCACTGTGCCCCTGGTGTGGTCCACTCCACAGGACATCCTCGTCCTCTACCTCTGTCCACGTGGCTGCGAACCACGGGACACAGTTCCGTGTATGGCTGCTCTTGGTGAACACTGCAGGTGGCAGGTGGCCTGGAGGGGTCTTCCTTCTGAAAAGCAGCTTGTCAGTCGAGGTCATCCCGCGACTTGTATTTGTGATGTCTGAGAAAGAAAACAACAGTGAGTTTTAGAAATTACACTTGAAACAAGCGAGAGTTTGATCTCTTTTCTAGTCTTGCGATCAGAATCTCGGCCCTGCTTTCCACGTTTGTGTCTGTGTATCGTTTTAAGTGTAATCTTTAGTTTCAGGCCCAAAGAAAGGCTAAACCCTTACTTTTCGTGGTTACTCGTTGAAACAGAAAACTGAGAAGTATTACAGCTTTAGAGAACGGGGTCTCGGACAGTCGTGACCTTCGTTCACACAGAGCCTCTGGAATGCTTTCTGAACTCTCCTTAGCGGGTCACGTCTTTCAGAACCTGAGCAGAAGGCCGGGCGTGGTGGCGCATGCCTGTAATCCCAGCACTCAGGAGGTTGAGGCAGGAGGATTGCTGCGAGTTTGAGGCCAGCTTGGGCTGCAAAGTGAGTTGAAAGCCAGTCTGAACTACATAGTGAGACCCTGTCTCAAAAAGACAAAAAATAAAATAAAATGAACACCCCTGAGCACAAAGCGGTGACCTGAGAGCTTTCATTGCAGACCACCCTGACCCTTGCCCTTTCCTGTATGGTCCTGGCTTTTCACCCCGCAGTTTCGTACTAATTAGTATCGTGCATGCTCAGTGTGTCTCTGGCTGCCTCAGTGGAAGCAGATGCTTTTCCTTCATTCTTCCCCTCCTTTCCCTTTGCTGTGCACTGCGTCGGTATCACTGTAAGTGTCCTGGCACATGCCAGGCCTCTGCAGACACCACACAGTCCCCAGAGATCCGCTGTTTTGTCTTCATCACTCAGAGGAATCATCTTACAGCACAGAGGACCCCTTTCTACTCTCGGAGCTTGGTTCTGTATTTTAGTGCAATACTAAACGAACTCTGCAGATTAAAAAGCAATCATGGGACATTTAACAGCTCTGTAAGTTTAATGGCCGTTGGCTTCCACCAGTCTACTTTCCTGAAACATTGTGGAAAGTGCTACCTTCTTATCTAGTGAGAGTTCTATTTCATGGGAGAAGGTAACCAGCTTTATTTTTATGCTTTTTCAGAATACTAAAGGCAGCAGTAGTGTGTGAATACCATGCGGCCAGTGCTGCCCCAGTGCTGCTATTTTTATTACTGATGAGCTTTTCAGGTTGTTCTAGAATAAATTCTTCCTTTTTTATCTCCAAGTTTGCTAGTCTTTTCATGATATAGCTAGACACATCCTACCGCTTTGCCTCTGTCTCCACATCTCACGTCAGAGTAGTCCTCTGTATAGGTCTTTTGAGAGGAAACATCTACTCTGTAGCTCATTAAAAATTTTGGTGCAGTTGCCCTCCTCAGCACTAGGATAATTTTAAGCCCATTGAGCTGTTGGAGGCCCTGGGGTCTCGCGCTGCTTTCTGAATTAGTAACTAACTGTCATGAGCTGTGCGAATGTGCAGGCTGCCAAAGCCTTTTTTAAGTAGCTCCAGTTCTGTCGTCGGTGGCCTCAGAGATCTGTGCTTTGTTAATGACTAAGCCCAAATAAATAGATGTTCTTGGGCGGCAAGCAGCTGGACCCTTTTGGCAGTTCTGACTCTTTCCATGGCTAAATTTGCATGCCTGTTGAGGTGATGGTGAAGGGGCCCTGAGCCTTGTCCCCTGGAGTGGACAGGAAGGAGACCAGTGTTAGCGAGCGAGTGTGGACAACGTGGCCCTGGCATGGTGAGGCCTAACCCTCAGCTGTGCCGCTCCCGGTGCCAGGATCGGGGTGGGCACAGCTGGATTTGGATGCCAGCAGAGACAGCCAGCACCGTCTGGGGCAGGCGGGCGTTCTCGTCCTGCCCAGCTTGCTTGGAGATTGCGGGCGGCAGCCGTGGAGAGAGGGGGATGCTTGCAAATCCTCCTGCCTGGCCCCTTGGAAGTGTGCTCAGAGGGGAGCTTGGAGGAAGTGTGTGGGAGGAAGGAATTTCACAAGCTTCTGGGCCGGATCCAACGTCAACTCTCACTTAAAAGAAAAAAGTCAGTTGAGTCATTTCAATGGCAGCTGTAGGAAATGATCAGTGTACCTATCTGAACCAACGAGCGCGTTTGGCCTCAATGGACAGAAGGAGCGAAATGACTGTTTTCTTTCTTTACAGTAGCTTTGCCTCTCCATGTCTTGCCCTCTAAGTCACGGCGCTCCACTTCTGTGGGTCTGGAGCAGCTTTAGGGTTCCAGACCACTGTCGCACACTCCCAGCGAAGCACAGGAAAAGCAGGGACAGAGACGACAGGAGGCAGGTGGGAGACAAGCAGGAAGTGAGTGGGGGAGAATGTACTGCTTCCTTTTCGTCTCTGCCAGGCTGGAGTGCAGCCTTCAGCATGGCAAAAGCCACTCTTGGGTGAAGTGTCCCTATTTGTATAAATAGAAATAAAGCTCATCTCACTCAAGACCTGAGGAGCCTTTACTAGAAGGTTTAACAGCTGACAGTGTGATTAGTAGTGGTCTGACTTTCTTTCTCAAATCCTGATTAAATGGACTTTTCAAAGCCAGAAAAAATGCATAGCAACTGCGCAGGGAAAATGTTGCTTTGCTTTACTTTCCAGCCTCTCCCAAGTGTGTGAGACCTGAGGGCGGTGGTATCACTCGGATCCCACTCTGAGCAGAACTGGTTGAAATCTGATGGTTTGTCCAGGAGCTGTAGAGACCCCGGCCTTGAGCCGAAGTTCCAGGAACAGTCCGATCTCCTCACAGCAGCCCCAGAGCCCTGCGGCAGCGAGGCCCAGGCTGCCACGCACCCGCCCTTCCCGGGTCCCGGTCGCTGTTCGGATGTCTCCTGTAAGCGTGCAGACAGACCAGTGAGGCCGCTCACGTGTCCACGCCCCAAGCAGCCACTCAGGCTGAGAAGTGGAGGTCCCTGTTGTGCAGGGGCAAAGCAGATTCATACAGGGAGGGACTGTCAAAATGTGGATTTAGACATTCCCTCCAAGACATGTATTAGCAAGTCTGGCACAGAGATTCCTCATGATAGAATTAACAGCAAAGGAGTAACAACGTTTTCAAATAATTCTAGAAGACATTGTTTTATGACTTTATCTTTTAAGGGGTGTGGTTGTGTTTAGCATTATTTACATATCTGCTCTTCCTACTGTTATGTTCATTATTTTCCTAGTTTCTCGTGTTTCTCCCCTATCATCTGTGAGGATGGAACAAAATTCTATGAGATTAGGCAACTGCAAGAGGAAGAATTTTAAAATGCTCCTTTTAATTCCTTATAAAACCATATCCCCTTGCAAGTGTTACTGAAATTTTTGTATTTTTTATTTTCTTCAACATTGAAGACCTTTTGATCTTCAGTGTCAACCTCTGTGACAGAGAAGCAAGCCAGATTTTAAAAACTTAAATACTTTTTTTAGGCCAGCAGGTGAAGTTCATGTTTGTTCAAATTAGGCCATTCTTTTTAAAGTCATATGTTAGTTTGATACACAGACTTGCAATGTTCTGACAAGCAAAGAAAATAAAGCAAATTATTTACAGAATATGAGTCTCCTCCTAGTGAAACTGTAGCTGTTGTGATACAAAACGAATGAACCTACAAAGGTGTAATGTGACATCACAGATTTGGGTCTTTTTTCAGGTTTTCACAATGCTTCCTTTTTTGGATATTCAGGGTTCCAAGTGAAATTTGGAATTTTCTGGAAACAGAAAATTGCAGTAGACACAAAAGCATCTGAAATGATGGCTTTCAAAGTTGTTGACACCTGCTCAAAAGTACTCAACTTTCTCACTTATGATGGGCCTTTTGGACTTTGTCTAAACCTACTAGCTGTTTATAGCACAGAGTTGGATCTCTGTGTACATGGCCAGAGAAAAGAACCAGGAACTTTAATTAAAGAGTTTTTCCTCAGTTTCTTGGCAACGAAAGATGAATGAAAAACTTCTCCTTTTTATTTCATTTTAGTTTTTGACCCAAGTAAGTAGTTCCTTTAAATACATTTCTCCACTAGTGATCATATTTTTGTTTTTATTTATATATATTTTTATCATTCTACAGGGAGTTAAATACCTGTGCATTCCAGCAGCGGATTCACCCTCTCAAAACCTGTAAGTTGTTTTTTGGTCTTATGTAGAGATAAAAAAATGAATACAGGGTTAAAGCCAAGTAAATAAAGGAATACAAGAGCCCAGGCCCCTGATAACCCTGCACAGCCACTGCCCGGGAGGAGGGAAGGCCTGCCCAGGGAGCACAGAGCTGGCCGAGGTGGGTGACGAGCAAAGAAAATAAAGCAAATTATTTACAGAATATGAGTCTCCTCCTAGTGAAATTGTAGCTGTTGTGATACAAAAAAAATGAACCTATAAAGGTGTAATGTGAAAAAGGTGTAATGTGGGCGGTCATTTTCCTGTCCTTTTGCGCCATGACAGATGTGATGCCCTGAACAAGGGTCTACTTTTTACGAAGGACACCTGAAAGCAGGCCTTTGGTGTGCTCTTCATGTGCCAGTAGCCACGTGCGGCAGGTGGCCACTGAGCACACGGCTCACGTCAAATCTTGCTTGAGTGAAGTGATTGGTTTTGGGAAGCTCAGTCCTTGCTCCTACACAGCTGAGTAAATGTCTGGTGAGTCTTTGTACCTGTAGAGTGAAAGTCAGTTGCGCCCCTTTGGTGGCAGTCTTACCTAGAGTGATTGCGCTTGGCCATGGCAGGAGCGTGACGCCAGCTGTCCCAAAGTGACTCAGAAAGACTGGCATGGAACAAATTGTAGTTGTCCTGAACCATGGACCTGACCCTTGCAGACTGAAAGGCTGGGTGCAGAAGTAAAGTGCTTGGCTCTCCGCACACCCAGCCAAGCCGACTGTCTTCTGCTGTACTTTGGGCATCAAGAGCACAGCTCTGGGGCTGGGGATTTAGCTCAGCGGCAAAAAGCACCTGCCTGGCAAGCGTGAGGTCGTGAGTTCGGTTCCCGGTACCGGAGAAAAACCAAAAAGAGCACAGCTCTCCTGGAATCACAGGGAAATCGTACACTCCGGAGGTGCTTGTGAGTTCGGAAGTCCGGAATTGGACTGGCTTGTCCGGAATTCCTCCTTCCGAGCTCAAGCATACTGCGTACAAATCATACAGGTCAGGAGTACGGGCTACATGCTTGTGTTCCCTGTCCAGAGTAACCAGCCTCTCCAGAAGTCACTGGACACTGGACCATCAACCACCTTTGAGGTTTCACCACTGGAAAAGCCAAGCAGTCATGGACTCTGCAGCCATTTTATGAGCTCTATCTGTGGAAACAAAAATAAGGCCAGAGATAAATGGATCATTGTGGGGAAATTTGAAGTAGCAACCCAGAATCCAAGGTGCAGAGTTAGAGCAGAAAGAGCCACGAGTAGAGGAAGTTGAGGCAAATGTGTCCTACCCGGGGCTGTGTTTCCATTTGACCCTTGGTACTGAACAACAAGGTGTGCCTTTAGGGTAGAGGATGGAGAAGGAAGGACTTCACCAGGAAGGCAAAGGAATCACAGGGCTGGAAGGAGGAGGGTAGCACTAGAGAACTTCCCTGGTTACTGGTCGTGTCAAGAAACAGAAGTGGTTGGAAGGACATGGTTTGTACGGAAGGAAGTGAGCCACTGCTTTTCTCTGAAGCGCAGAGCAATCTTCTGCCCGTGTTTTGATTGCTATTTTTAGAATGGTTGCTTTGTTCTTATTTCCAGCTGAGATTGTACATTGCTGCTGAACTTGCCAATATCCAACTGGCAGTTTGCTTCTATAGAAAAGTCCTCCTGTACTCATGCTAGGCAGACAGCACTTGCCTTGAGCTGCTCCCAGATGTACGTTTTGCTGGGAGTGGAATACAGTCTTCGATGTCCATGACAGTTATCTAAGTGTTGAGCCATTCTGCATGGTAGACAAGTGAGCAGTACACTGAGGTATCAGGAAATCTCTAACTAGAAACCAGTTCCGTCTACCTTGGGCAAGTTATTTTAACCCGTGTTCTTTTATCTGAAAACTGCCCACCTGCAGGATTTGGGGAGGCAAGGTCAGCACATGTATGTGAACATAAGCTCCATGGACATTAGGAGCTTCAGAAAATAAGAGTATATTTCTACTCAGAGGGAATCGATGTGTCCTGAAAGTTAGAGAACAGGAAGTATGCTTCGTGAATTGGAAGGTGTGCTCACACTCCAAGGCAAGGGAGCCGGAGTGTGTCGCGCTGCTTTGCTGAGTGGCGGGCTCTTGCAGGTCAGTTGAAATCTTCTGACAAAATTAACCCAAACAGTCACCACGGCTGGAGGACTCCCCATAAAGTTAGACTAGCACTCCCCTAGTCCCAGTGTGTAGAGAGGGCCAGTGAAACACTGTGTGTCCTTGTGGCCCCCTCCTTGCCTCGGGTGGGACTGCCAGCGTGTTAGACTCAGGTAGCAAGGGCAGTAGCCGATTTTCGGATGATGTGTGGAGAGCGTGCTCACACTGCTCTTCTCAGTGGAATCTACAGCAGTAATACTTCTGGGAAAGGAAGTCGAGAACATGACTCATCACTCAGGAGAGAGGTGGACCCACTACACCCGGGAGTGATGCTCAGAGCTGTGACTGTCCTGTGAAACTTGTTTTGTTAATGCTGTGGTAACAACGAGGTTTACGCACAGAGAAGGCTTTTGGCACACAAATGGCTATGACTCTAAATGTTTCTGGCTGTGCAGAAGTTACACAGAGATCAGAGAGTCAAGTCTGGAACTCTGAGTGTCCTTTGGATCAGCAAGAGACAGCCTGGCAAGTACCTTTCCACTTTCCCTGCTGTGAGTGTTCCAGCTGGAAGTGCAGCATGTTTTTAGTGATGAATGTTTTGGTGCGTTTTCTGTTGCTGTCACAGAGTATTTGAGGCTCCTTATGTAGATAGGAGAAAAGTTTATTTAGGGTCATAGTCGTGGAGGTTGAAGTCCAGGATTAGGCTGCCACATCTGGGGTGGCCGTCGGGCTGCTTCCTCACGTGACAGAAAGGGGAGAGGTAAGGGAGCTCACGCTGAAGACACAGTGGCCACACTGGGCAACCAGCCCATCCTGGAAAGCAGCAGTCCACCGTGAGGGCGCAGTCCCCAGGACCACACACTGCCTGCCGGGCCCCACCTCCCAGCACTGCTGTCTTGAGGAGTGTGGGCTCTAACACATGAATTGTAGGGGACACATTCAAACTACAGTGAGCAAGCTTGCGTGATAATGCAGTGATTAACCTAAAGTTGGCAGGTAGAGCGCCTGGCTCTCTATGGCCTAACATGTTTAAAGTTTCTGGTATTTATTGTTCACCAAATATTACTGCTGGATGGCTGGCCATGGACACACCCCCTACAGCATCATAACTGAAGGAGGGGCTTACCTTCTGTGCTTTATCTTCTCAGTGCCGAATGCATTATTCTTTATTTAGTGACCCACAGTGGGACTGGGGCTTGGGGGCCAGCATCACCTGGGAGGTGTGTCACCTGCATCCCTTTGTTTCAGACACGAATGTGGGTTTTCCTTCTCAGGGGATCCCTTCAGATCTCCTGCCCTGTCCCCTGTCCTCAGCACATTTGCAAAGCATTGTATCAGTTGGCTATTGGTACATAATAAACTTTGTGATTTATAACCACAAAAAAAAAAAAAAATATTACTGCTAACGTGAACCTTCGCTTTCCGAATCATTAACTAATGTGGGTGGTCATGAAACAAATATTCTTGGTGTTCTGCCCAACAAAAGCCAGACAGGTCATGCCGGTCATTGTGAAACACACTCTAGGTAACCCAGTCAATTAGAAATAGCTTTTAGTCTGGCCACATGGAGTGCCTGGTGCCTAGGAATTCCTCCATTCAGTGACAAAGTCAATTCTGGAAAACGGCATCAATCCTGCATTTTCTATCCTAAATCTTTCCCTACAACTCCAACAGGAATTCTGACCAGTTATGCTTAGTAGAAGGCGTGTGACCTTTGAGACTGGCTGCCATCCCTTCACTGGCACCCCAGAAAGGTCTGCTTTCTTTCTGGCGCCCAACCCTCAAGAATCTTCCCTTCTCATCTTCCAGGAACTTAAAATGCAGACATCAGGTTTGAGATAACATAAAATTTTAGCTCAATTCCCCCAACCACCAGCCTTGCCAAGCTGTGAAATTTAAAAGTTCAAGTTCTCAGTGTCTGTGAGCCCCACACAGCCTCATGGTGTGCTTTCCCGGGTTTGTTGTCGTGAGGAGAACCTTGGGGTGTGTATCCAGTGTGTGCTCCCCATGTGGCCAGGGTCCAGGGACTGGCAAGTTAAGGTTTTTAGAAACACTTATTTTCTTTTGCTTTCTCTCTGGGTTTTCCTAAACAAGTCATTTTAATCTCACTTCTCACATCTATAAAATGCCTGTCTCGATGGGTTTTTATAGTATTAAATGAGATAAGTGAAAGTATTTTTTATGAACACTAAGCATTTCCAAAAATAAGGTTATATTTTATGTCTCCTCAAGCAGGAAGTACTAGTTTGTTTTGAAAGTGAGCGGTTGGATATACATTAACTTGTATTCGCGCATTCTTACCCCAGCATGGATTAAGCTGGTGCTCAGTCTAGGCATCACTAAGTCAGCAGTCATCGCTTGTTTTCTTCGCTGTCCAGTCCAGGGAGCTTGGCCTCTGCCAGGCTGGGAGCCGCAGCTTTGCATCATAATGCTTTATGACATTCAGCGGTTTGAGAGCCAAGCGGGTCTCTCAATTTCTTGAGGTTTTTGTGGAAAGGAGAAGCATTAGCAATACAGAAAGCTTATATTTAAAACACCAGAGACTTCCTCGACTTGTTTGTTCTCCCAACTCTGTCTCGTATTCTCTGGTTTAAGTGATACCACTTATAATTCCAACCCCCCGACACACCTTTTTTCTCTATTTACCTTTTCCCTGGCTCTCCTTATTGAAGAGCAGTTGTGTCCAGCGCAGAGCGGGGTGGGCCTCAGAGCACTGTGGGCCTGCTTGCAGAGGTCTCCTGCAGCTCTGCAGCCCACGAGCACGCTTTGCTGTCCCAGGAGAAGATGAGAACTCTGGAGAAGGGGGAACCAGCATTTCCAGCCACTTCGCCTATTCCACTCCACACGCTGTCTTTTAGTCTTAGTGCTCTTACTTTTTTGGTGTTGAAATATTTTCTTTTTTGCAATGATGCTGTAGTAGATGATAGCGAGATGTTTTAGCTTTTTTTGTGTTTGTTTTGTTAATTTGCTTTTAAAATAATTTCATTTGACCGAATGAGAAGTATGGTATATGCACCCCTCAGTGTCTTTAGGGGGGATAGAGTTGGGATTAAACCCAGGGCCTCGTGTATGCTAAGCGTGTGCTTTGCCATTGAGCCACGCCCCCAGGTCCCCATGTTTTAAAATATTGGCAGTACACGATACACACAGGCCAGGCACTCGCTGATGCAGACGTGAGTCAGGTGCCCCACCTGTCAGTAAAGCGGAGGCTCTTCCCCACCCTGCTTCTGGTGGAGCTGCGGTAAGGCTCTGCCTGCAGAGTTCCAGAGGAAAGGCAGGCCTGGCAGGGTGTGGGGTCCAGACCCGCTCTGGCACAGCAGGCAGCAGCTTGGACCAGAGACTTCCAAAGCCGGGACTCAGATAGAACACCTAGACCATTTATGTTTAAAACATTTCTTTCTAAGAAATAAACTAAGGATGCTTGCCTTTCCTGAGTTTTTCTCCTTTTGCCTCCATTTTTCTACCCCACTCCAACACACACGTGCACACTCACACACACACACACCCGTGGGTACTCAGTGGTGGGGAAGGCAGTGTACCACCTCCTCCTCAGGGAGCACCAGCTCTGAGGCGCGACCACCTCCCTTTCCCTGTCCTGGGCCCCTCCCTCAGCCCCTGAGTGGAACAGCGCTGCCTCAGATCCCGCCGTGGGACTCAGCCTGCGCACCAGTGTGGAGCCCGGAATAATTGTCCAGTGTGAAGAACGAGCACTGTGTGGTATGGTAGGCAAGATCTCTCCACCCGCTTTCTTGGACCCTCAGAAGGTCAGGACTGTCGCTGATTCTTGTGGTCACTGGGAGAGACGGCGGGGACAGTGGGCACCGCTAAGCCGCTCGCAGAACACACAAGAAGATGTCTCTTGTTGCTGCTTCCTGCCACCCCAGGGTATAACCCACAGGTGCCGTGGTGAGTTACAGCGCCTGCAGGCCGTGCGTCCTGTGACGAGCTCAGCTCTACGGACAGAATTCACAGTGTGCTCAGTGTGGAAGCAAAGGTTAGCTTCCCCACCCCCGAGGGGGCGGGAGCTAGAACAGGGAACTGGTGTCCATTGAAACAGCTTGTGGTGGTCAGGGCTCTGGATTTGTGCTTCTGCTTCAAACTGGAGTTGAGCAATAGAAGAACCCAGGCCGTGGGTATTTCCCACTGTGGAGGAGGACATTTAGTGACCAGAGCTTGAGCTTATGTCACTGGCTTCCCTGGAAATAACCCACACACACTCAGCACACAGCTCTACACCAAAGCAGTGCTGAGCTCGCTGGCCCCGGGCTTTTCTTGGAAAAGACATTTCTAGGAATGGCTTCCTGGCCTGGCCTGGTGCCCAATGGTGTGTGTGAGTCAGGCGTCCAGCAGAGCTCGGCGTGGCCCTCCTGCTGGCATCGTTCATACTCCTGGGCTGCTACTGCAAGGGGCTCTGTCACAATGCTTGCTCTGGACACACCAGTGGATAGGAGCCTTGTCCGTGAATTGTCCTGGACTTAACTTTTGTTGGAGCAGCCCCTAGAGGAAGGAGCCGGCAGGGTCGGGGTAGGGACATCACCGCAGTAGTCCCTGGGCTTCTGCACAGACCCACACTAGGCCCGGGAGAGGTGTGGCTGTCGCCCCGCTGAGCACACATCTCTGGTCCTACAGCGTGGCAAGGTGCACTCTTGAAGCTGGCTTCAGCCCGACAGTGTAGAGCACTTGATCCACTGTGTGCTTAACGATGTGCAGGTATGAAAAGCGGATCTGAGAAGTTGCTCCCACTGCAAAGCGTCAGGGAAAGGGCTCCATCGTGGAAGGTCTGGATGGGCCCAGAAAGCCTACCAGAGTCCTTCGACCAAGGACAGGGTCGCCGCTGACATTTGTGTGGCTGTGTGGTCTCTCACCATGGTCTAAGGAGCTCTGGGACTCGCTCGTTCACCCGTGAGGCTGGCGTTCATTTCCAGGTCTGCCTGGCTGGCACATTCTTCCTCACCTGTGCTCTCGGGCCAGGAAGAGGCCACAAGAGCAGCTGCAGCCAGGAAAGGGGCCATGCATGCCGCCCACCGGTGCAGAGGCCTGGAATCTGGGTGGACCGGCACGGCCCTTCTGTCTGGCCTGCCTGTCTGTAGAAGGGCTGACAGGGAAGGCCACGCTGCCTGCTGCTTGCAACATCAGCAGAGAGCAGGCCGGCCAGGTGCGTGGCCTTCAGCCCTGGGAGCCGGCTGGGGATGGGAACTTGCTGAGTGAGGCACTGAGGTCATGCAGGTGGCGTCCTCGGGGGTGGAGGCCCCTGGGAGCACGCCGAGCAGGCCCTCAGGTCTTGCCAGAGCCTGGCCTCTCCACCCTCTGCTCTTCCACCCAGGGCTGTCACTGTGACCACAGCTGCTACAGCCCTGAGCATGGTATTTGCGGCTCCCGGGCAAGATCTGCAGAGATAGCTCATTCTCATTGGGAATGGGAGTCATCCTCCGAGACCTACCACAGCCTCCCCTCCGCCTCTCGCTGGTCACAGTTGGAGGAAGACAGGATATTCCCAGGACCCCAGCGCTTTGCTGCTCTGCACAAAACCAGTGCCACGGTAACCAAGTCTTGCTACAGTTCCAGCGCTGCAGGCTCAGAAGACTTGACTGCCAGTGCAGGTGGCAGCTCCACCAGCAGCCAGCCGGCCCCTCTCCTGCAGCCCTCAGACAGGAACTTGCCCCTGGCCGGGCTCTCACTCGCCAAGTCTCCCCAGGACCCACCTGACCCGTCCTGGCACTTGGCTGTCTGGCTGCCGCGGGCTGCTGAAGTCTCAGCCCAAGGCTTCGGATTTCAAGATGATGCGGCAAGAATGTCCTGCCTGCTGTATACCAGGCCGGTGCGTGCCCACGCACTGCAGTTCTCTGAGCCACTTTGTAAGTTTACACCTGGCAGCATCAGTCCCCGGTGACTCTGATCTTGCAGTGCCGTGTTGCTTAGCGACCGCAGGTAAGAACTGGAGGCTTGGGCTTGGTCTGTTTCGACTGGCCGCCTTGCACACTTGCGGGTTTTGACAGGAGTATTAGGTTGCACGTGCATATTTACATTTTCGTCACCTCCTGCCTGCACTGGTCTATGGAGCTCCTCCAGTGAGACTGTTAAGTTTCTGCTGCAGTCAAGAGCCAGTGACCTCGCTGGACCACACTGAGCCTCCTTTCTCGTTCATTCACGCACTGCTGCTCTGCCGTCGGAGCTGCATCGTACTCGTCAGGGACTGTCCGGAGCTTTTAGAGCCCCTGGTGAACGCTCAGCCATGCTGAAGGGAAGTGTGTTTGGCTTACGGACAGCTTTTGCTGTGTGCTGTGTGAGACGCCAGTGAAAGGCAGAACAGACCGCAAGGGCTGGAACTTGGCCCCCGGAGACCCTGCAGTGAAGCCACCGTCAGCCCAGAACACAATCAGCACTTGGGGCTTGAGTCCTGCCCAGCCGTCTGCAGGTGACCTGGCTCTGACTTGTCCTCTGAAAAGCTACCCAGCAAGGAGCATCTGTGCCTGCCAACAAGGCCAACAGGCGGGCGCTCCCGGGGCATCAAGGGACGAGTGGGTGACGGGAAAGAGCAGGGGCAGGGAAAGGGTCGCAAGGGGGAGGGCAGAGCTTGCGCTGTCATTTAGGGCTTCCAGGTGGGCCCAGCACACCGGCACGTGTCGCTCACCCGCCCTGTGGGCGGCTTCCCCGCCAGGTTTCTCAGCCGCCCTCCCGGCCCCGTGAAGTGGCAGTGCGGGGCTTTGGAACTGAAATCCCCGCTTCCTCACGGCACTCTGGTGATGTGCAGACGCCACCCCCAGCATTCAGGGAGGCCTCCAAGGGGCACTTCGAGGTGTCTCGCGTTGTCAGAGTGAACCAGTGCAGGACTCGGGGAGCCCGCAGGACTGGGGTGCCTTCCCGGCCCGGGACCGCCCTTACCTGCTCCCTGTAGCCATGCTGTGTTCCCAGCTGGCCTGGGCATCCCGGGCTTGCTGCCAGCTCAGACCGAACGTGGCGAGCTAAGCGGGAACCACCACCCCAGTCAGAGGCAGCCGTGTGTGCCACGGATGCCTGACAGAGAAGTCCCAAAAACTTCCACACAGCAGCTTTCCCTGACCGCAGCGTGCAGCCCCAGCCCTGGCAGTGTGACCAGGTTTTCAAGCTGTGGCCTCAGACCTTGTAAGAAGCCTCATGCGGATGCTTAGTAACGGAGGCCTTTCTCTCTCTCTCCCCTTCTCTCTCCCTCCCCCTACAGGACAAGACACTTCAAAGAAAGTATTAAGTTCATCCACGAGTGCCGACTGCAGGGCGAGGGCTGTCTTGTGCACTGGTACGTATGTCTCTTGCCCAACGAGACCTTAGCATGTCCTGGATTCTCACCAGCGTTTTTCTGTGTGCGATTCATTCTTCCACATCCTGATTGTTTTCTGTAAACTCCGAATCTCACTCACATATTCCACTTCTCTCCTGCCGAGTGTTGGTCCTCACTTGATTTTGTCAGAAGGGCACCCCAGCTAGCTGTGCTTTTGCTTTTATTTTTGTGGATTTTTTTATTTCATTCATTGTTAGGATTTCTACTGAGAAAGTCAAGGATACTGGACACTTCATATCTGTGGGGTTTGCTCTTAAAATTGGTCCCATACTCAGCCTGCTGGAGAAATCTAACTGCTAAGCACAATTTGGCAAGGCCTCCTGGATTCACGGGCTTTTAAAATTGTAGATTTAGTCTTCAGATGCAGTGGCTAAGAAAACCAGACCTGTAAAGATGAGGAGCGTTCTAAATCAGTGCAGGTTATAAATGGGTTGGTTGCATAGATCTTGGAAGCCTCCAGCCCTTGTGGTTAGTTTTATCCAAGGAAATGCAAGGTGTGTAAGGAAGACTCAGGAGCAATGGAGAATCATAGAGCTGAAGCATCCGGAGCCCTGAGGCTAAGCTGCCAAAGGGGTGCCTGAGACTGGTGCTACGGGCGCAGGAAGCTGGACTCTCCCCTGGCGCCTGCCCAGCAGCACACTTGCCCATGTCCCTGAGCAGGCCAAGGCAGGAAGGCTCTAAAATGAGTGCTGCCGGTCCCCTGCTACAGTGGACTGACTGACAGATCCATGGCCCAGACCACACTGCCCTTGTCCGTGTGTCTCTGGCTGCAGCCTGGCTGGGGTCTCCAGGAGCGTGACGCTAGTGATCGCGTACATCATGACTGTCACCGACTTCGGCTGGGAGGACGCCCTGCACACTGTGCGCGCGGGGAGATCCTGTGCTAACCCCAACCTCGGCTTCCAGAGGCAGCTGGAGGAGTTCGAGAAGCACGAGGTCCACCAGGTGAGCCATTCTGGACGTGGTAGCTGCCCCCGAGCACCCTGAACTGAAGCCTGGGTCCTGTACTGCCCACAGAAATCCCCAGTTCCCACCCTCGGTCACTTTCCTTGTGCCTGGTCTCACAGCAACTCGAGTCTCTCCCTTTGGGTAAGGTACTATTTCCTCAGCGTGATTTGCTGGGTTTTTTTATCTTCTAACTCATTTTAATCTCTAAGCTTTTAAAGGAATCATCAACAAGGTAACAGCATGGTATTTTCCAACACAAGCTTTGTACGCTCAAACTTAGGTCTTTCTTTGGATTAAAACAGGCTCTTCCTCTTTCCGAGAGTGTCCTGCATTGCAAAACTTCCCTATCCATGTTTCTTCCAGCGATTTCTCTGTCTCACCTCAGCTGCCCCAGTCAGAGGGACAGCAGGATGACACTTTTTTTCTTGCGTCTGGCATGGAACCCTTAGCTGCGGACAGTAACTCTCCCAGGTCTGCCAGACCGACGCCTTGGTTTGCCTTACTGTCACATCCTCAGGCTGGGAGGGGCCCTTCTCCTGCTTGGCACTGGCGGGCCACACACCCTGCCCGCGTCCTGTAAGGTCTTTCTTTGTATGTGGCAGCTTCTGTGCCATTAGGTAGAATGCAGGTGCTTATTGGTGACATTCTGGATTTGTTTCCAATGTCTTCAGTACCGGCAGTGGCTGAAGGAAGAATATGGCGAGAACCCTTTGCGGGACGCAGAAGAAGCCCAAAGCATTCTGGGTAAATATAAAGAGCAAGGGCGCGTGGACTCGCAGCCAGGCGCTAGGCGGTGGAGCAGCTTCTCGGCCCTGCCTCCTCTGGCCTACAACTACACGACGGAGACCTAACGCAGAGGGACCTGGTCTTTCCTGCTGCTGCTTTTCTTCGCGCCCACCGGCCTCGGTGGTCTGCTGGTTCTCCACCGGCCTCGGTGGTCTGAGGTTCTCCACCGAAGGTCTCCTGCCCCTGGGACTGAGAGAGGCAGCCGGGCGGCAGGTAAACGGCACAGGGCTGCCTCTCCAGGACTGCGCCCAGCCCCGCTCCGAGCGCCTTCGCTCTGCTCACCTGCGCCCTGACCTCGCCGCCCAAGCTTGCTGCCCGAGGCCGTGCCCAGGGTCCCGGGCTGCCACACACTGCGTGTGCCCATGCACGTGTGTGAGCCGCAGCGGGTGCCTGTGGATGCGCAGCGGGCCTCTGTGCGTGTGCAGCTTGGCGAGGCCGTGTGTTCATGAGTGTGTACAAGTGTGTGCATCGTGAGAGCACACGTGTGTGAATGCTGGACGCTCATGTTGCTGGATGTCTTCGACGCCAAGCTGCCCGCATCGGTGTGGTCCCACTTCTCCCTGCCCAGTCTCCACGTGGAGGGCACCTGCCCCTGACCTTGGAGAAGCTGCTGGGCTGGAGCTGCCCGTGCCTGCCGGCAGACAGCAGGAGGGACTCGGGGCTGCGCGGCTGAGAGCCTGGGCTCTCCCGGGAGCTGTGGGGACAGTGGGGTCCCACCCTTCTCCAGAAGGCTGTTCCAGGGCTCGTGGCGGTAGGGGTGTTGTTGGGTGGGGATAGCGCTTGGAGCACTGCCGCAGGCGGAGCATGAGCCCCGCAGGCCCTGGGCTCCCTGCTGCTCAAGTCGGGGCCCGTCAGCGTGCCGTGTCCCTGAGGTCTGCATAGTGTTCTGGCTGCATCTGAGGTTCTCCACCGAAGGTCTCCTGGTCAGAGGCCCTTCCTGCCCTCTTCTGCCCGCTGTGCGCATTCCCAGCCTCTGTCGCCGTTCTCCCTGTGCAGGGGCCCCTTCTTAAGGTTTGCATGCACCTGCAGGAATTGGGAAGAAAGAGCATTTATTAGGCACTGTAGCCATTTGTATTAAAAAATGCCTGAGCACTTATTAAGCTCCGTGATGTATGCTGGGGATTTGGTCTTTGATCTCAGCTACCTCATTAAATGTCTTCTGCAAAGGTGTTTTGGCTATGCTAGTCCTCTCTGCCTCAGAATTGAAAATGTGTGGTCATGATTACTCTTGAAGCCAAAGAGCAGGGTGTCCGTGTCCTTGAGCCATTTCACACTGGGAGTGAGTCCCCCGATGGTCCCTGTGGGCGCAATTCCTCAGGGAGGGCGGAGGGCATCTGCATGTGCCACATGGGCCACGGGACCTGTGTGCGTGCTGTGGTCTGATTCTTTATTCCAACTCGAGTCTGTAAGCGCACAGAGCCACACAAATGAAAAAATGTACTCCTCCCATCCCTAAAAAGATGTCGCAGCCAGGGGCTGGGGATTTAGCTCAGCGGCATAGCGCCTGCCTGGCAAGCACAAGGTCGTGAGTTCGATTCCTGGTACCGGAAAAAAAAACCCAAAAAACAAACAAACAAACAAACAAAAAGATGTCGCAGCCAGTTTCTCTGAATTCCAGCACAAAAAGTGCCCCTGAGCGAGAGGAGCAGCTTTCCTGTGCATGCAGAGGGTGTGCCAGAGGTGAGCTCTTCAGGGACAGGGAAACCCAAGTTGCTGCCTATGCACACGTGCTCAAGACAACCACGGCCACGTATGCATTGCTCGTTAGCTGAAATAACTGCCTTTAAATTATGTTTTTTTCCTTAAACCAAAAGAGATGTAAATATACAAACAGCTGTGGGCACAACTCAAAGAGTGCTTTCCTGGCATGCACCAGGCCCTGGGTTTAATCTCCAGTACAACAAAAAAGAAAAAAAGGGCAGTAGAGTGAGTGCTTAAACACATGCATACATGTATGAGTGACCTCTGTGTTCCTGTAGGCTTGGAAATGTTTTCATATTTGTTGCCAGTAATGTTCTTTCTCCACAGCCACTCCAGGAATTCTGAAGCACTGGGCCTTTCTCAGAAGACTCTGACATACCTGAAGTTTGAAATATTGCAGTTTAGGCTAGTGCTGCCAAAAAGAAAAGCAACCCAGAGTTTATTTTTAAATATCCAGCAGTGATTTGTAAACCTGTTTGTTGTCCGCCTTACACGAAGCACGCGTGTAGCCACGTTGTAACATGTTGAGAACTGTGGGGATTCTATAGCAAGAGAAAACACTGGGACTTCCCTCTGTGGCCGTGGCTGTTTCTCTAACCTGGCTCAGACGCTGTCCGGAGCCCCTCACACCGTGGGGGCTCTGTAGAGCGGTCGAGGTTGCTTCCCACAAGCCGCTGCCCAAGAAGGAGGCCTGGGACCATGTGCGTGAGCTCCACACTCACATTCCCAAATCCCCAACCTGCAAAAGACTCCGGGTGTGTCCCTCCAGGGCTCATGGTGTCCACGGGGGCACAGTTTTGTTAATAAAGAGCAGCTCAACCTGAGAGCTCAGCAGCATGTGCAGTGCATTCTTCCTGGGCCGGGCGTGAGGGTCTCGCGCACTTCTGTGGGGGACAGAGTAGGACGGACCTGCTGCTGGGCTTGGGCAGAGGCAGTTTTCCTCAGTAAAGTAGGACGAATATGTTGGGAAGGGCCGGCTAGTGTCTCCATGACCAAAACAAACAGACTGCCCGTTGGCACTGGTGATACAGCTCAAGACCCTCAACTTCTGGGCTCTGTCCTCTGGCACCGGAAGGGGAGAAAAGATGGAGAAAATTTCATCCTCCATGCAGTGTGAATGAACCAACCCTGAGGCTACTCTTTGTCTGGGCAGGGGTACGTGAACCCCTGGAGTTACTGCAGGTAACGCGGGCCTACACAGGCATTCGCTGCAGTCACTGCATGCAGCTGTTCTAAGTCCACGTCCGGTGTCCACCTGGGAGGAGCAGACGGACAGATGAAGAGTCATGTAAATCCGTTTCCTAAGCTTCCTCCACTGACTCTGGGGAGGCGGAAGGGAATTTCGCTTTTTACCCCAAGGCTGAGTTTGCCTCAGAGGAAAAGCAGGTGAACCTGAGCTCAGCACAGCATGGCTTTCCTGTGTGCAGGTGCGTACATGCGCGTCTATGTGGCGGGCGGACAAAGGTGTGCCCTTAGGGGACCAGGAAAACAGAGTCGCTATTAGGGGACCAGGAAGACGGACCATGTCCAGAGCCCAGTGTGCAAGCCTGGAGGTGGCGTGCTGCACATAGCTTCCATCTCTGATGCCTGGAAGCTCTCAGCGTGGCCAAGGGCAGGGGGTGGAGGGGGCTCCGGCCACAGCTCCAAGGGGCACGAGGAAACTTCGCGGGCCACAGAACTGCCTCAGGCAAGGAAGTTCGTATTCCAGCTGAGCATGTGCGCCTGGTGTGACAGGCATGCCTGTGGTGTGTCAGGTGTCAGACAAGGGGCCGGGCGTGTGTCCAAGCCCACCTGGGAGGGAGGGGGGTCACTGAAAGCAGGGCTGAGTCCAGCAGGGTCTCGGGGGACCTTCCCGTGTGCCCAGGGCACAGGGCAGCCCCAGCAGGGAGGCAGGTGTCCTTGTCACAAGCCCAGCCTGCAGGGCCACCTGTCCCTCTCAGCTTCCCAAGCGCATGGGCAGAAGGGGGCTGGTGAAACCGGCAGAGCCAGCAGCGACAGTGGTCCTGATGCGCCCTGGAGCTCCCGGCCCTGCAAGGCGGCATCAGCCCTGCCTAGATTTTGGAAATCAGAGGCCCCTTTGCTGTCCAGGACCAGACCAGGGGCCAGTGAGTCACACTGGAGAAGGAGCAGGGACGTGGAGTTCTTCGAACACAGACCTGCTCCGGCGGGAACTCAGAGTCGTGGTCTGCAAAAGGGGAGACTGGCGTGGCTGCCCTCACCTCTCATCCGTTCATTTATTCACTTGACAAATCTGTCTTTGTCACAGCAGTGCCAGGGACCCAGCGGGATGCTCAGGCGTGCTCCCGACTCTCAGGACAGTAGCTGGCGGGCTGGCAGTGAGGAGGTGTGTGGGCTCCCAGAGATGGGAGTGTTTAGGGAGGAGACCTGGTCTGAGGCCAGGAGCCTGGGCAGGATCCCGCAGGTCAGTGAGGCTGGCGGCATCAGCGAGCTCAGTGTCGGGGACTGTGCAGAGGAGGGCTGCGGTGAGAGGGTGAGCGTCCCTTACCCCAAATGTTTAGGGCCAGAAATGTTGCACAGTTTGGATTTTCTTTTCAGATTTTGAAACATTTGCATTTGCGTCATGAGATACCTTGGGGCTCGGACCCCCAGAGACACAACATCTATTCACGTTTTATATGCACATCTTGTCCCCCTTACCTGAAGGTGATCAAATACAATGTGGTTAGCCCGCCTGCATTTTGACTGCCACCTGTCACGTGAGATTGGGCATGGAATTTCGCACTGTGGAAAAAGTGCTCAAAAAGTGTCGGATTTGGGAATGTTTTGGATTTCAGATGTGCACCACCCAGTTACTGCTTGTTAGGGCCCTGATATCCATGGAGAGTCTCTTTCCTGCATGGCCCCGAGCTAACCACGCTCACATAGAGCCCAAGCTTCGAGCCCCACAGGTGGCAGAGGCGTGGACCACATTCCATGGACACTGGCGGTGCTGAGCAGGCAGGCGGGTGATTCTGTGCAGGCGGCAGGGTACCTCCGTGTCTGTGAAAGGGGTGCCCATATCCGGAGGCTGCTGGGGGCGGCTACCAGCGCTGTCCTGGAGTGGGAGCCCCATTTCTCTCCCTGACATGGCCTCCGAGGGTCCAGCTAGACACAGGCTGAAGAAAGGCTGGGGAGGGACAAGAAGGACCTGTGAACCGGAAGGGGGCAGTGGCCTGTCTGCGCTCGCTGCTGCTGCTTCCTGCCCCGCCTGATGGCGTGTGGGCCTCCTCCTCGTTAAGGTTGCGTGGGACAAAAACACTAAAGAAGGGGCCGGCTGGGCCCCAGACCTGGGTCCGCAGAGGAGGCTTGTCCCTGGGTGAAATGAGGCACCCCCTCCTCCCCGCACCCAGGACACACTCGGGGGACTAGACTCATGAACAAGAAGTCAAGTGTCCAACCTCCTCACCTACTGGGAAGGAGAAAGGACTGGCTTTCAAAAGCCTGTTTTAGGCCCTCGCTGGGCCTCGCCATCAGGGTGTTTGGAGATCACGGGAGCCCTGGGGCACCATGCAGTAAACTCAAATGGTGCGAGGCGGTCTGGAACCCAAGAGCCCTGTGCTGCTCTGCCGTGTCCCTGGCCAGAGTCTGCCACCACAGCCAGGACCACACGAGAGCCGTGGCTGTGCCACCCCACCCTCCTCCAGCGGGACAGGGCCTCCTGTGCCATGAAGACCTTTTTCTGGGTCCCGGGCAGGCATTCCTCTGCACTGACTGTGTTCCAAGTGACTGTCTGAAGTCACATTTTTCCGAGCACCCACCGTAAATGGGCAGCTACACTCTTCCCCAAGAACAGGCTCGTGCTGGAGGCTTTGCAAAAATCTACTGAGTGTCAATTCTTCCTAGTTTCTGTCTCAGCAGGGAACCACATTTATACTTTGGGGGATGCCTCGTGTCATTCACCCACAGAGGCAGCTATAATTTGTGCGAGTGTGTGTGTGTGTGAGTGTTGGTGTGTGAAGACAGAGAGAGAAGTGGTGAAGTTTCTATCAAGGAACTCCTGTGCTTGCAGAGGAGGCCCTCCCTCCCTCCAAGGTGCCCTGTCTAGGACTGTGTGAGGCCCAGGTACCTGAACACTCTGCCCGGGCAGAAGGTGCCTAGTGCCAAGCAGGGAAACCTCAGAACCGAGGTCCCACAGCCAGAACTGGGCATCCAGTGCCACTCTGCACATCCACCTCTAGTCAGAGAAATAGGGAAGACACCAGGAGCCACACCCCTGCCATCCCATGTCAGTGGCTCCGCCCATCCTGCCCCTGAGTTATTAATAAGTTTATTAAGAATGTGCTCTCAACACGCTTGTATTTATATATGTATTTAACAAGAAATCACCACAACTGCACAGGGCGGTTCCTCTTCCCTTTTTTTTTTTATTGCCCAGAAAAAGGGAGAAATAGAAAAGGAGCGAGAAACACAGAGACAGACAGGGAGGAAGGAAGGGAGGGAGGAAAAGAAAGAAAGAAGAAAGAAAGAAA